CTGGCTGGCAAGAGCAGGCAGAAACACATCTGAGCATCAGGACACATTTCATTCCTATTCAAACATGTATCATAAGGCTAGCTGGGAGGAAGGAGTTCCTGCTGCAGGTACTGAACAGCCTCACTGCTGCTCTGAATAGAAATTCTGTTTCTAGCTTGGGATGTTTCGACTGCAGAGAATAAAGAGATTATTTTAAAAACAATACAAAACAAACCACCAACCTTTAAATGGCTGAGCACTTTGGAAGGTGGATTTGTTTCTTCATCTTTTTTGTAAGTTCTAAAAAGGTAAAGACTATGTGTTCTCCTCTGCCAACCTGTTCATAATAATTATTAATTCCCTAAAAGATAGTGTTTATACCAGCATACAGTTGTTAACGCTAGTAAGATGTAATAGCTTCTCAATTTAGTGTATTGATGCAGTTCTTCTGTTCACATACTATGGAATAGTAATCAAAGTACGTCACTTCAGTGCAAGAATCCAGTATCACAAGCAGATCAGCACATAAAAAGCTTGGAAATGCATCTTTTTAGATAAACTAATGTGCTGAAAAAAACATTAGGATATTTTATGAGGTAGCTTAAGTTCCTCTAGCTCATTCTGGTACTGGGACAATATGTAACTTTACACTTTGATTATTAGAAGTCTGAAAATATAGACTAAAATATTCCAGAAAAAAATCCAATTTTTATCTGAGTCCAACTTAAACATTCTTCAAAAATAATTAACTCAACCCCCACCCCCCCAACCTCAACATATAGGATTAGTGTCCTCTGAAAATAATGCCTGATATGTTTCCTGTTGTTCAACTCTTTAAAACAACATGTTGCAGCTCTTTCTATTAACTTAAAGTCTGTTTTCCAACCTGGAATGACAGGCATTTTAGGTGGTTGAATTTAAACCACATGGCTGGTGGTCTGCTGGATTTTAGAAGAAAGGAGGCATAGCTTGCAGCACCACAAGGTAATAGAGCATTCCTTAGGCAAAATATATTGAAATTATACATATTTAATGCTGTTACTAGAGCCTCAACTTCTAGCACTCTTGAAGTTAATAAAAACTGATATGTTAAGCAGTGTAGGTATTTTCAAAAGGCTGAATACTAATTTTCCACTGCAGGCTATGAATGACTTCAGTGAAAGTTATTTTGTCTTAGGTGCCTGATTTAAATGTGAAGAACTTTAACACCTACCAAATACTGTTAGAAACAAGCATTTATCTGCTCTGAAACTTTAATATAGCTGATATGAAGAACAACAGTTATGGGTGCACAGTCAGAAAGTATTGCTGTACCTAGGCAGTGCCTCAAAGGAAGGATTTTTGTGTGCTCTCTGAAGATGAGCTTCCTAAATGATACTAAGGTCTCTTTATTACTATAGTAAGATACCTATCCTGTTGTCTTTGGCATGCTTAATACTTTCTAGTTCTCAAATGCCACTTCATTCCTGCAGTTTGCTGTAATTGATGCTCCCATCACCTGCACCTGGTAGGTTTCCTGCATTTGTTGCAGTTTTAATAGAGTCACTAGAGATTAAAGTGGCTTAACAGGAGGGACGCAAGTGCTACTGAACATGTTGGAATCACTGCAGGAGCAGTAAGGAAGGTTTTAGGTTGAAGTGGATGCTAATGTTCAAGATGCTGCTGTCATCCCGGTTGCGCTCTTAGCCTTTTGGAGCTTCAGCAGCTGCCCTAGTGGTTCCTTCCTGGGAACAGAACTTCCCACACCAGACTAGTTTAATGGGAGTGCCCAGGCTTCCCAGATTTTGGAAGTAAATGCTAATTGTTATTTCTGGTTGTACCATCATTTTGCAATGCAGATAATGCCAGCGTGGCACTGCTGGTTAATCTGTCAGAAGTTGTTGCCTTACCATTCCCTTTGTTAGAGAAGTTTTTGAAGAAGCACAAAAGGTGGCAGATACCAACTCTACAGATGAAAGGCAAATAAAATTCAGGTGAGATCAGTGGTGCACAGCAGAGATTCTGTGAGCTGGGTCTGGATATTAAATGGAAGCTCATTATGCAGAGCTGCACTTGAAGCAAGGGCCAAGCAGAGACACCAGAGGTCTCTTGGTCCAAGTGGAAGCATCCTGAGGGCCCAGAGAATACTGTCACTAGGTGTGTTAGTGTTGACACCGCTTTAATGAAATACCATTTGAGGAAAAGAAGGGAGCTTATGTGGTTGCAGTGTAGCGGGTAGTTCTCTGCACTTTCAATCATGTTATCTTCAGATTAAGCCCATACAAGATTTTAGGTTCCCCTTACACTTCATTAGAAAAAGAAGTGGCTCATATAGACCCTATATTGACTTTCAGAACTCAAGTAAATTAGAAAAGGACTAGGTATCTTTAATATCTGAGCTATTAGACTGCCAATATGCTGTTAGAATATCTATGAAACTGAATGTGAGAAATTACTGAGATGACCAGAAAATAAACAAAGTGTCTCATCAGACCAGCAGTATGTTTTGCAAGTTTGGTCATGTCTGCTGGGCAATTCAGTGTTCTGCTACCACTTTAATTATAATTGTAAAAATTTAATTAATTGAGCTGTAAAAATATACTCAGAATACACTTGTTTAGGAAATGCAGACCAACATGAGCAATGCACAAAACCAGTTCCAGAGCTGTCAGCACTAGCTTTAAATTATGGAAGTGCTGTTTTATAAGGTCTGTCACTGAATTCTTGATTTATATTGTCTGTCCAGAGGAACTGAAAATGGATTCAGAGATTTTGGCAATTAAAGGTTGTATCGTATCTGCTGATGTTTCTGTACTTCAGCATTTTTTTTATGTATGCCAGCTTTCACAGCTGATTGATTAATGTCCCTTTTCAAGCATTTGCTAAAGAAAGAGAGCATTTGTCTGGGTATCACTTGTTCAGGAAAATTTCCCAAAGCATAAACTACCTTTCATAAACATTCTCATACTGGTATATCCCACCTTCTAGACTTTTAGGATACAAGAAAACACTTCTGACTATAATTTAGGAGTGCTGTTATCTCAGATTGTGAGTCCTCAAGCTTGATTTCATTTGTTCATGTTGATTAAGAAAAGCAGAATATAACTATAGTATTAGTGATAACAAATACTTTTGAAGGAACCTGGTTCCCCATTTTCTCAGGAAACGTGAAAGTTGTTTGTAGTAGAGATTAAACCGGTGTTAAATGATGGAGTTCATTCTTTTAAAGTTTCCATTTTGTCATCGTCTGTAGGCAAGCAGAAGAGGAAAGCTGATTGTCTCAGAAGTTACTAGCCTTTTTCTCAAGCCTGATACTGCTATAATAAAATAAACTAGTGTTTCAACCAGTGCAATCCATCCAGTCTCAGACCTCTTAAATATCATGTAAAGGAGTCTCTTACATGATTTATTAGCCTGTTAGATAGTTCAGTACCTTTAACTAGATCCAGGTTCCTACAACTGGCTTCTTATATCTGGGAGGCAAGTTGAATACCCAGGATGGCCCTGCTTTCTTCAGGATTCTCCGGACAAGTTATAACTGCATTAGCAAGATGCTTGGGAGTCCTTTCCAGCCCAAGGATGAGCTACCCAGCAGTTTGCCAAATCAAATTAAATATTTGTGTGCACCAGTTTCTGTGTTACAATTCCTACTCAGCTCTCCCTTAACAGGTTATCTCTTTACATTTCATTGTTGAGCTCAGATCTTCCAAAACACAAGAATTACTTTTGTCATATTTAAAAGCATATTTCTTAATATTTTCCTCCATACCACTGCTTAAAAAAAACTTGATTTTTTTTTTATAACCTGTAGCTTTTACTTTCTTAATGTTGGGTTTCAGCATATATCCATATTTTGAAAGAAATGTCAGTTGCCATTTTCCTGTATATTACATGCAATCAAATAGGCAAATGAGTAAATGAAGAGTAAATAAAACTCTGGAAGAACACGTGTTATATTATTAATTTTTGTAAGTGACTGTTCTTTCTCAAAGTTTTCATGTAACAACTCCACTCATTCAGCCGACACTCTTTGTTATTTGCAAATTACTGGTGACAGTCTCAGTTCTCCTTTCCAGTAGATGCCCTCATTCTAGACACTTCTACATCATTCAGACCTCATATCAAATCCACGAAGATCTGTAATCATTTTGGAAATTGGAAGGCCTGTAGCACCAGAGCAGACAAGCAGTCAGATTTCCCAACCTTATCAATAGAAGAAAAAGTTACATCATGACAGAACAGCAACAAACATTAAGCTTGTGGAGAAAACTGGGCCTTTAATTTTTAAAACTCTTTTGGTTCAAGTCAACTCATGACCTTCATTTACTCGCCTCTTCCCAAGTTTGTGTGTTGTCTCATCGTTCTCTTTTGAAGCCGTTCGTGAAAAATCAGTTTCTTGAGGAGAACACCATCTCCCATTCTCAGGTCTGGTAGATGGTTGTGTAAGGTATGAATTGCTCCACAATGTGGTGGTGGTGGTGGTAACTAGGAAGATCGTCCCTTGACAGGGAGATTCTGTGGAGTTGCAAAGACTATACGTGCTCCCAACTTTATATATGCCTTCTGTCTTGGACCCCTAGAGAAGCAGTAGCTGTTTGTGGGTGGGCAGGCAGGAAGAGCTTCCATTCAAAAGAAATGACCATGCACAGAAGATGCCCAAAAAGGATGGGCTTGTGTAGGCAGGTCAGAGACAGGACTCTGTGGGTGGTAGTTCAATCCCGTTTTGTTCCCCGAAAGCTTCAGTTCTCTTCTAGCTTCTGCCGCCGCTCCCGCATTGCTCTGCCCCAGTCCTGGCTTGACCCCGTGGTATCGTTCTGCTTTGTAATTCTACACGGTCCTACTGAAATCCGTCAGCCCCGTAATTGTCCTGTCTGAGCTCTTTTTACAATACTACAGTGTCTGAAGAAACCATAAGGTGGAGAAATTAGTGACCTAAGACATGAATGTATAAAGAAAAAAAGATGATCATGTCAAATCATCTGCTAAGAGTTTAGAGTGGTGGTATGAGACCATTAATCTTCAGGTGTTTCTTTCTGTTGCAGGGTGGGAATAACGCAGGCCATACTGTGGTTGTTGATGGGAAAGAATATGATTTTCACCTATTTCCTAGTGGCATCATTAATCCAAAGGCAATTTCTTTCATTGGTAAGACAATTTTGGAACTTATTAAATAAAATAACGTTACATGATGTGTAGCTGCAGCCATATTTTATAGTAGCAAGCAAAGAAGAATATATAGGTGACAGTCAGATTTGCTTTAGCTTCAGCTGTTTGACTTTTATTTCACTGTTGCTTTAACATGAAGAGTTATTCTGCTTTCAGTGTCAGTTTAGTTTCTGCTACTAGAAAACTGTAAGTAAGAACCCCCTCTTTCTATCACATTGCTCTTTCTTATGCTTTATGGTACAAGTTTGGATCCCACCCTCTACTTGTACACTCCTTTTATACTTTCAGAAATATATATATGCTGTTCTTTGAGGACACAAAACCTGGCACTTAGGCTAAATAAATAATATAATTTATCTCTGGCATGTCTTTATTGACTTTCCAGAAATAAACCCTAAGATACAGGGCTCCGCTTGGAAGGTTACCATCCAGTCTCCTTTTAGTTCACATTACCAGCTGTTTAAGGTGATGTTATATTTCACTGTAGAGATATTCGAAGTAGATGGCATCACTAAAAAGTTTGCATTGCTTACTGGACGTTAAACTCATATTTAAGTGACAGGCAAATTTAAGACTTTTACTTGTCCAAAATGATGATTCTTTCTGACAGAAAAGATGTATACAGAATGTGCAAGACATGAGTGTAAGTTTTAGTGAGTCATGGAGTTTCAGTTTTGTTTCATTTGATAATTTCCAAATGGATGATTGAAATACATGAAACATTTTTTTTCTCTCTGCAAAATACAGTGTATCGTTTTGCTTTCCGATTTACTCCCTTGCCAGTTAGTAAAGACTATAACTTAAGTTATCCTAAAACTAGGCTCAGACAGGCTCTTGCATGCATTTCTGATGTTCTCAAGAAGGAAGCAGCAGCTGTTTCCAGCCCACTACATCACTAATCCTCCACGCCTCGTCAGTAATGCTCTGTATTGCTTGTGGATTCCATATTGTAGCTCAAAAGCAGGGAGAAGGCATTGCTAATGTATTTCAGCACTAGTTTGAACTGAGTTTAAAACAAATACGTGAATATTGAAGAAAATTTAAATATTGTCACACAGGCTTGTCAGTGTTGTAAGGCCATGGACTTCTTTGAGCTTTTACCAGTGAACAATCGAGGCTGAAGTCGTGGTACAAAGTCCACCACAAACAAAGACAAGAATCCGCTTACCTCAGCTGGCTTCAGAGCAGGCCCGGCATTCACATCTAAAACAAGCAAGCTCTTTGTTTTTCTGATTTTAGCAGGCTTGTAGCTGCTTACCCAAAATGAGGATTTATCCAAAAAGTTCTCGAGATTACTTTGTGAGAAGTGTGAGAAGATTAGTCTTACTTTTGAAATAAAATTTCAGACAGCAAGTGTTTGCATGCCTTACATCCTAAGAAGGTGTATTTTATTTCTTGCTTTAAAATAAATCATTTATGTTCCCGAAGGTAATGGAGTGGTTATACATTTACCAGGCCTGTTTGAAGAAGCTGAAAAGAATGAAAAGAAAGGTTTGTATTGAATAATTTTTAACTTTTCCTTATATTGGCAGCCACGTTGAAGGGTTTTTTAAGCCTTTGTTTCTGACCATAAATATTCAGTGCAATAACATTCTGGATTTTAAATAATGAGGAAGACAGTATTTAAAATGTTGAATTGTGTTGTAGTTTTCAGACAGATTTTTGAAAGCAAACTTTTCCTGGGTTTTCAGGGAGTTTTATGGCATAAGATGCCACATTAGACAGAAAATAAAATCCTAAGGTGTGTGGCAAAGCTGCCTTTGACCTCAAACTGAGATGATTTAATCCAGAGTTTCTGTGTCCTCATTTCTGTGCCCGAGTATAAACTCAGTTGGCTCTGCTCTCAGCGAGGCTTTGGACCAGATGACCTTCTAAGGTCCCTTACTTCTTAAATTCTTTTATGATTCTATATATATAAATTCTTTATTTTCTGAGGCACAAATGGAGTTCAAGTGATTTATCGTAGAGTGAGTTAAACAAGAATCTTTCCTTAAAATAAGAAGTGTGTGTAAGCCACAGCATTCTGGGCTAGGAAGAAGTGGTGAGTATCTTTGTCCGTATCAAAATGAGAAAGCTGAAAAAGTAAAAAATGAGAAAAGTTTATTAACAAAAATATTGCTGTTATTTGATATTCACTTATGGTTTACCCATTTTGTCTACAGTCTTCTTAACAAGAAGCTATATAAACTAGAAGAAAGACATAGAAAAACTAAAAGCAAATCTCAAAGTTTGACCAATCAGCACAACTGAAATCCTACTTTCCTTTATATCTTCTGACAGGTTTAAAAGACTGGGAGAAAAGACTGATTATATCAGATAGAGCACATATAGGTAAGTGATGATTGAAGGGGGAAAAAAATCAAAATGACTGCTTAGCTCGTGGTACTAAACTACCTTATTACTCCACAGAGCAGTCATGTATTTGATCTAGTACAGCTTCTTTGTATGTTGTGTATCTGAAGCATAATAATGGTATTTGTATCCACTAAAGAGTGATGTTTTACATGTTTTCACAATGTTTAAGGAATACTCGCTCTGTTTTCACATGAGGAGGCCTGTGCACTATCAATTATAACAAAGGAACTTTGTCTTGAAATTATAGATGTCTCTGATTTAAAGAATGTTTTTCTCCTTTAGTCTCGCACTATGTCCATTTGTTTTTCCATTGCAGTGTTTGACTTTCACCAGGCCGTAGATGGGCTCCAGGAAGTGCAACGTCAAGCACAAGAAGGAAAAAAGTAAGTATTTTCAGCACCTTCATTTCATTAATAATTATGCAAATTTGAAAAATTGGTGTAATTTTGGAAAACAGAAATGCAATGTATCTCTAATGAGCTTTGCTGGTGTTACTAGTTCTGTGACTCCGTTCTGCTCCTACTTATGTTAGTGAACAAACTTTGAGGTATTACTGAACAGGCAGGGTATGAATTCGTACCTATTTCTGTTTTCCAGTTCTCTGCAACATACAGAGACATTTTGAAATACCTACCAAATCCCCCAAGCTCATTTCCATTAAAATGATGCTTCCAATCCAGTTTAATATCAGATTAGTGATGCTCTTTTGAATCAGGTCTGAAGTGTTGGCGCAATTAGGTTCCACACTTGTAATAGTTTATTGCGTATTCACTTCTACTTCATGGAGATATTAGTTTCTATTTTAATTTTAATCTTGGACTTTAGCACAGTATGTAACTATTCATACCTCGTTATTTTGGCTTCTGAAAGAACAAAGGTTTATGTGAACACACTGTATTTTTCTCTCTGTTAGTCTATTAGTTTTTGATCCCATTGGACAATTTCAGCCAAACTTAACATACAAATAGAGATCTCAAAATTTCTAAAATGCATATGAAAATAGGCATGCAGGTAGGGAAACAGTTTCATTTTTATCCTCATCAGGGTAAAGACTGCAACAGTTCATAGGGAGAGAGGTGGTATGAATAATGCCAAAGCCATAGGAAACCAGTTTGATCACTCACAGAACTGGTTGTTGTTTACAACTATAGACAGTGCTGCAACTGTGAAAATGTGAAAATGACATTTGTTTCCTATTGTTTATGGTAAGGGATGTAGTAGTACCACAGGATAGTATAGTAACCATTATTACTGTATAATATATGTATATATGCACATTGTTTCAACTAAGCTTGTGTCAGCCAGACCCAAGGCTTAATGCTTTACTGCACACCATGAATATTACCAATACTTATGCAAATCCACTGAACCATGAAAGTTGCTATATATTTACTATTATAGAACTTTAGTAATTTTTTTATGTCTCAGACCTCCTGCCCAGTATATGGTGTATTGAAGAGCTTTAATAAAATTACTTAGCATAAAGCATATTTTTGCATATATTTATACATGTTTGGGGGGTTTATTTTTATTAGTATTGGCACAACAAAGAAGGGGATTGGACCAACATATTCTTCCAAAGCTGCACGAACAGGCCTTCGAATTTGTGACCTCCTTTCTGACTTTGATGAATTTTCTTCCAGGTACAGCTATTTCCATTTCTAAATATTATGTTAAAGAGCGATACATTTTGGCTGATAGATTTGCTTTTAAGGAGACGTTTTTAAATATGTGTCTGAATTGTGTATATAAATTGTCTAGAAGGAGAAGAAAACTGAAAAGAATGTGTGTGTATATTTCCTGCACCTCACAGAGTTTCTCATAATTTAAAATGTAATTTTGTACATTGGGAAATGCACTGGTTGAGGTATCAAAGTTCTGGGTATTTTCTCCCTGTAGCTCGCAGTATATACTGTGTATAACATAAACTGAGTTCTTGTCAAAGGTTCTATCAACATTAAGTATGTTCTTCATAGATACGATTTCAATATTTTACAGATTTAAAAATCTGGCACAACAATACAAGTCAATGTTTCCCACATTGGAAATAGATGTAGAAGGACAATTGAAAAAGCTAAAGGTAAGGATTTAACAGTTGTACTTTTTGTTCAGTTTCAGGGAAAGTATAGAAGAAAACAGTAATATTTAATTTAAAAAGTAAAAATGAAGTGTACCAGAACTACTACTTATTAAACTAATTAATTAATTTAAATGAAAAATGCATATCTTCATTATTATAAAACCTTTCAATAAGCAGTAGCTATGCTTCTTAATAGAATGTTCTCTTCTTGTGGGCATTAAAATAAATTTTGTGGACGATTTAATTCTCCTATAACATTTTTGACATAAAATAGCTGTTGTATTAAAGTAGCCAAGAGGACACAGGGTGACACTTGCAGTTAGCAGTCTCCAGCCATAACTGATCTAGTCTGTCTGAGAGACTTCCATGCTTACTGAAGAATTGTTTGTGGAAGCTGTGTTTCAAGATGCTGGTATTACAAGAAAAATGGCTTTTCATAAATAAATTCAGAAGAGCTGCTGGTAAAACATGTTCTTCGATGAATATGTAAGAAAAGAGGATGCTAAAAAAATATCTTACCTTTCCCAAGTTTTGTCTGGTACTTGTTCAGAGCTGACACGCTACCTTTAAAGATATTTTTTAATGTTCATGGGTAGTGATTTTTTTTTTTCTTTCGGAGCTTGCGCTATTTCTAAGTCCCACTCTCAGTGTGTCTAGACTATAGACACACTATAGAGAGACTATCAACAAAATGAGGTAGGTATACAACATCTCTGTGAATAGAAATGGTACAGAAATTGTGGCATTCTAATGCCATAACAAGTCATGTTTTCTTATGTGAATCAATCATTGATTTTGTTTTCAATAGAATATAAGCTAATGGTTGTATTTTTCAGGTAAAACACAGCTATTGAGGCTGGCGTGTTAGGGTTATCTGTATGTTTCGTGTTTCAAAAGTGAGCACAGTGTTCCCTACTTCCAGCTATTGTCTGGGGAAGCTGACATTTCTACTCAAATTTGCAGGGATATGCTGAAAAAATAAGGCCCATGGTTCGAGATGGTGTGTATTTTATGTATGAAGCTCTTCATGGCTCCCCAAAGAAGATCCTTGTTGAAGGAGCCAATGCAGCATTACTTGATATTGACTTTGGTAAGTTAAATTTTAAACTCAATTTAACTCCTAAGAGATTACTTTTATTTTGATTTGTGTTTATATCAGCTTTGCAAACCTCAGAAAAATAGAGAAACAAAATAGTCTTTCCTTTAATAGGAACAGATCTCCCAAAAGTAAAGCACAGTAAGCCGGAGATTGTATCATTAACAGGATTAAGTGCTTAGGGTTTAAATATTGATTTTTACTGAAGTTTATTCCAGTGGAGTTGCAGTTTCACTGCAGATATTCTTGTCTTTATTACTTCTAAATGTGTGTGCACATTGCCATACATTCCAGGCACCCATTACAGTGCTGCTGAGGTAATTCCTCTGCAGTGGAGGGAGGATTAAACTGGTACGGATAACCTGTAAGTCTAGCCTCCTCAGTTGCTCTCTGCTCTGCCCTCTTACCAAAGGTTAATTAAACCACTTAGGTCTCCATGAAGATGAAATGAAGAACTGAAGAGATTGTCCAATCCAGAGTCACAGTGTAGATTAAAACTTAGAAAAGTTGGTGGAGATACTCAGAGCTACTTGTGTAGAGGACTGGCAATGTCAGACCGTGACCTTTACACCAGGCTCTCCGTGGATGTAGCGGAAATACTTTCTGTGATACACAGGGCAGTGAAAAAACATTTACACAGCAGCAGCATCCTAGAATAGATCCAGTGCCTAATGGAAGTAGTATTGAGATGCTTTTAAATTTCTCCCTTGTGGGCAATTCTCAGTGAAAGTTTCAAAGGATGAATGCAGAAAAGCTTACGCATTGGAACAGATAGCACATACTTGATACCTCCTTAAGTATAAGAAAGTAGGATATTTTCTTATTTGTCTGTCTGAACTTCTTGCTCACTAATAATGTGCTTATACACATTGCCAGGGTGAGTCAGCTATTTGAGTGGAAAAAATCCTTCATTTTGAGGGGTTTCTGTGTAGCTTTAGCAATCTAAATACATATTATTCACTACAGGAGGAAGCAGTTTGGGGAAGAGCAGCTTAATTTGTTCTCTTAAAAACAAAATGGGGATATGTAGTAAGAAGAATTTGCCCTGCTCTTTGGCTGCTGTTTCAGTTGAGCTTTAAAGCCAAATATACAGGTGAAAATCTCCTTTCAACTCATAAAGGAAAATCAGTCTTTGTTTCTTATCATTGCTGAAACAGGGTTGTGCTGTTGTTTTTCTGACAGGCACCTATCCTTTCGTGACTTCATCGAACTGCACCGTAGGTGGTGTATGCACTGGACTTGGTGTTCCTCCCCAGCATGTCGGTGATGTGTATGGTGTGGTGAAGGCGTATACTACTCGGGTGGGAATTGGAGCCTTCCCCACTGAGCAGATTAATGTAGGTTTAATGTTACAAAATGCAATATATACAGTTGCCAAAAAACAAGGTCAATGGAATGGGGTAAGGGTATACAAATGATAAATAAGCACCTTAATAATAATGCCAAGCAATTGCACTCATGAAGAGAGAAGTACATTATAAACTTAAGGTATTTTTCTTCAGAGGAGAGAAACACAAGTGTGATGATGTTATATCATGGTGACCACACTTCTGTTGTAAAGAATGATGTGAAAATAGATTTCATCATTTTATGTAAAAACATAAGGTGCGTTTCAGTGGCGAGAGTTTGTTGTAGGCTGGAACTGTCAGTGCATCACAGGAAAACTTAAATTACAAGATACAACTTCTGTGCTTAACAGCCTGTGTTCTGTGTGATTGACAGAATACATGTGGTGTGCGCATCAGCCAGTCATGCACAAATTGATCAATAAAAAGAAGGGGAGAGATTTTGATTCTTTTAAACTGTCTGTTGTATTTTCATTATCAAGAAACTAGAAAGCTCAGGGTATTGATTATGAGCTATGCACACAGCAATCTCTAGGTCAGTGATCCAGGTCTAATTTAAGGATTTAGTCACTAAAATCCTTTTTCTAATGGCTCAAATGAATTGGTGATATCCTTTAGTTATATGGATCATGAGCGTAAAGTTTGTTTCTTCTTCATTTTTAATGCATTATAAATGCTGCCTGCCTGAAGGGAACACTTGGCAGTCTCAATCTGTGGTAGAACCTAGGAGCCCTAGGCATGGTCAAGGAGTCTGTTGACCTCGACATTGTACAAGCATTGATTTTGTCCCAGGCATTTACAGTCTTGGCCCCCCAAAACAATAGATGCCAAAAGACCAGGTGAAGAAAGTAAACACAAACAAAATTAAAACCAGGGCTGAATTGTCAAGGAAATCTTCCTATCAGATGAAGAAGGAAGAAAAGTGTCTCCTTGGAACATGAAATAGTCATATTAAATAAGTATTTTGGAAATACTAGTGATTGAAATACAAAAATCCTGTACATATGAGGGGCTTTATTCTCTGCCTTAGTCCCCTCCTAATAAAACTTAATTATTTTTTTCTTTTTTTCCTACAAAAAGACCTTGGAATTGAACAACTGTATTTTTTTTGCTATTCGTCTATATTTGTTTATATTTGTTTTCCTGCTATTTTTCAGTGAAATACCATGACCATTCTTTTCTGTCTTCTTTTAGGAAATTGGAGATCTTTTACAGTCCCGCGGCCATGAATGGGGAGTAACTACAGGCAGAAAGAGACGTTGTGGCTGGTTAGATCTTGTCATTTTGAAATATGCTCATATGATCAACGGATTCACTGCGTAAGCATCACAGATTTTGCGCTACATTTGGAAGTGATAATTTTGTGCTTCGCAGAATAAATATGTAGGTAACATTAATATAAGTCCAGTAAAGTGTTACATTTTAAGCAATAAAATAATTCACACTGGGCAACTGAGAATTGTCTTAATGCTAATAATAATCTAATTCCTTTGACTTTTTTTTCCAAATCAAGTGATTTTACAACATCATAGCAGTGATTTTTTTTCATACATATTTTCACTTTGCTTACATCAGATGGCAAATGTAGATTGGACCAATGTATCAGTTTTTTAAGAGTTTGCTCTAGAGTTCTTGGTGCAGTGCTTTCATACTGACTTACGTCGCAATCTAAAACCTGCTGGCTTTGAGCTTTGGTTGGCTCTAGTGAATCATACTTGTAGCACCAATTCTGCATCATTTGGAACCACTGCCTCTTTAAGTGAATTAAGTGGGATGACACAAAGTGCACAGCAACTGGCACAGCTTTCATTCCAGTCCCTACAGGTTCATTTATTTACAAAGATGTGGTCTATTATTATTTTATAAATTCTGCTTTTAATGGGCTGAGTTTTATTTTCTTTGGGACTGAGCAACTTACTTGGTTGATAAATTATTTTATAATGAAAAATATATACTAAATTGACATTTTAAAGGAAAAGTGACTGTCTAAAGAAACTGTTCAAGACCATAATACCATCAAGCTAGCTTATGTCTAATGCTAAAATGCTAGTAACTATCACAAGCCATTAATTTATACTAATTGCCAATCTGTATTTTCAGAAGAAGTTGCAAAAGTTTCACTACAGTTTTGTTCATGTAAAGTGTAGACTTACTCATGCATTCAGGCAAACTTGTTCATATATGCAAACACATGACCTTGGGCATTTTAATATCTTACAAACTGAGACTTAGTATTGTTTATGCTACTAATGTTACAAAGGAACAATGATCTTTGTTCATTAATTTATCAGAAGGTTTTTCAAATATTTTTTTTACTTGGATTTATATTTTGCTTTAACTTACATAGCTCTAGTTTATATGGAAATAGTATTAGGAAGGCATTATGTTTCCTTCCATTTCAGTTCTATACAATTACTGTGCTTCTATCAACAAAACTATGTCATTTCTGGTAACTGTGACAGTTAAAAACGCATGGGGAGATAAAAACTTCAAAAAAGTTGAAGAACTGGCTCCCTGCTGCTTCTTTCCCAAAAGGCCTTTTCATTTAACCATTGCATTTATCACATACTTACTGAGCACATATAGCATGGACTATTATGTACATACCTAAATGTATGTCTAAATCATTAGCTTCTCATATTTTTACCAGCAAGGTCTGGCATATTGTTTCTAGAGAATTTTACTGGTTTTAAAATGCAGTTTTATTCTGATCAGTGAATACTACAGTGTCTTTTTGAGGTTCCATTTTTGTGTTCCAGTGTGTTCATTCACAAGAAGAAAAAGGTTCATTAAACTGACAACCCTGGTAGCACAGCCTGGGCACTGAAAGTCAGGCTGGGATCCTTCCTACTGAACTGTATACGTGATTTTAGTAGCTAGATTATGCTTGTGAAGTCTGTTTTAAAAGTGTAATTTAGTAAATAAGTCTGTCTTACAGTTGTTGTGAATCAGTAGGAGTAGCAGAAACAATTGCTAGTGGTGATGTAAAGTGACATGCCATCATACATACCCAAACCAAGTCCAGTAAGGCTCGCTTTACATAGTCAGCTTGCATTTTCATGTGCTAAACTGAACACTGTGCGCCTGTATGAGCAGCCAAGCATTTGGAAATGTGTCGTAGTAACTTAGTCATGTATTCATCTGAGAGGCGTGAATTCAATTAACAATGTTTATAGTTTAATATATTTGTGTATTTCTGCTTGCTGGGTTGCCTGAGCTGGATTTGTGAATACAAAACTAGAAAGAAAAAAGACAAGACAGGTGGAAAGTATTAAAGAGGATATTCATCATGTGTGTAACTCTGATGTTTTTCTGTACAGTTTGGCATTAACAAAACTGGATATTCTTGATGTCCTTGATGAGATTAAAATTGGTGTTGCTTACAAATTGGGTGGAAAAAGAATTCCATATTTTCCAGGTATGTTGTTAAATATCTATGTTCATTTTCCTCTTTCTGTTAAGTCATGCCTGTTGGGAAAGACTGTTTGCTTTTTAAAATCAGGCTTGATTTCTTTTTCGCTAGACCTTCTGTAGAAATTTGCAGAACTGTGATACCAATATAAAGACTACTGTATCAGTATGTTAGCATTTTCTAGTCACCTTGCGTCTGTATGCATGATGACAAGAAGTTCAGAGCAAATAAAATCCTGTGTTAGGGCCTCTATGTCTTGTCCCAGTAGATTTTTTTATTGACAACACAAGGGGTCTGAAAGTCAGCAAGAGTCAAGTCAGTGTGTATCTTTGGCAATAGCCTTTAATGAAGTAAAGTAAAAATAAAATCAGTGCTTAAGCTGTGAAAAAATGAGATGGATACAAGCAGAATAAAGCTGCTTATCGGCTACCATCACGTAACTGTAATTAACAGCAACAACATTGTGGTTAATAAAAATATACATTGCCTCCTGAATATGCTTCATGTTAAAACTTTTAAGATGTAATAATATGTAATTTTGATACATTAATGATGTTTTCAAGATACCTGTAACAGTCTATGCCAAGATGAGGGGGTTGTTCTGTTGAGATGGGGGATTCTGGAGGCACAGGGAGGGCTGGCAGCAGCCACCAGCTTTCCCACCACTGATGGTAGTTTCTGGCTGTGGACAGTAGCACATTGAGAATTCCAGTGGGGAAAGGCTTGAAGGCATCTAAGTTTTTAGCAAGCCTGATTCAACCCTGTTCCATGAAAGTAAAAATTTTTGAGGAAGTCGTGCCTTGTCTACAGGAGGACTTCTATTTTATTCTGTGCAAATCTGAATCAAAAAGTGGAACTACTTTAAACTTCAAATAATTTGTTTCCTTAAAAAAACTTCAGTAGTCTTCTGACAACATAGAGTGCATCCTAAGGTTTTGACAAGAGGAAACTGGATTACTAGATCCTCTTGAATCAGAGTTATCTTCCTAAGTAACAGAAATTAATCTAAATTAAGAATAAATTAATTAACCAACCAGTAGAAATACTGGGGGGTGGGGGGGTTATTTATCAGATTTTAAATGTTGTCAAAAGACTTGGTTGGTCAAGAGCAATAGGTGTGTTCTTTTAAGGTGGAGCAGCTAAAATCAACTGTGATAAAAATTGTTCTCCCACAGCTAATCAGGAGATACTACAGAAGGTGGAAGTAGAGTATGAAACAATGCCTGGGTGGAAGACTGACACAACTGGTGCACGAAAATGGGAGGACCTCCCACCCAAGGCCCAGAATTACATTCGCTGTGTGGAGAACCATGTTGGAGTGCCAGGTAAATCTTTCTGTAGATGTACATATGAGGATGCAACAGCAGACAGGAGCAGCTCTGTAAAAGTGCTCAGTTCGTTAGCCAGAGCGTGGCTTGATTTGGGCAGGAGGCAATGGAGGTACCTGTGGCTGGGCTGATGATGGTAAAGGTTGTCAAGAAGCAGCAAAGGGTGGTGTTCTGCGGGCAGGTCTGCAGTGTTGCAGAGAGCTCCAAACTGCTGCTGACAAGGACTTAACCAGAGGAAAGATAAATGTGTGTTCTTCTTGGCAAACTACTGCTTTCTGTCAGTGAAAACTCAGGGATCTCTCACATCACCATGCTTCAGTGCATAGTTAGTCTAATGTCCTCCCTTTATTAATCTCTTCCTTTCACTTCCTGCGCTGCATCCCTGTTTGGATATAGACTTCTCTTTTTCTTTGTTTATCTCTTCCATACTTACCCATATAAGGAGATGGATTGCATACATGGATACAAGATTGTTTAGCCCAATTCTGCCTCTTTGGAAAAATGAGAATCTTAACATGATCAAGCCATCCCATTTTTTTTTCAAATCTAATTGCTAGAGCTCTAGAGGTGCCAAGAGCTAGGTGTGGCATGAATGGTGCAGTTTGAAAGGCAATTTCCACAGTAGCAAACGTGGAAAGCTGGCATGTGTGCTTTTGTTTTCCATAAAGCACCTCAAAGGTCACATCTGGGGAGTGTAAGCTAGTTGCAGCTGTGGCAATTCCAGTATTAAGTTCGTGGATTAGGAAGCATCTGATAGCAGACCCTGAAACTCAGTGGGTGGTCTGTGTGTGGTCACGAACACAGATGTGGGCAACGGGATATGTAAATAAAGTTTCCCTTACTTTATTTCTCTGGTTCTCGGTGTGAAGGCAGGGTGCCTTGGTGGGTTTGATGACTATAGGAGACCTACCTACAGTCAGTTCTATAGTCATGGGCAATAAAAACTGTAGTGGAACAATTGTAGTATGCTATTTGGGGTGGCTACTCACACTGGATGATGTTTTTAATTGCAGCCTTGTATTTAACAATATTATAGCATGTGTGCATCACTATCCCCTGATCCACATCAAGAAAACTTCACAGTCTGGCAGAGCTCTCACTTCTTCTCTGCAGGGAGTTAGCTAGACATCCTATCACTCAAGACAATGACAGTTAAACCTGCAACAAACATACTCGACCTTCTGTTAGGCCTTCCATCTGCAATGCTTTGTGTTTATGGTATAATTATTTCATGCTTTCAGACTTCAGTATATTGCACTTCTAGTGTGGTAATGCAGCAGGTGTAAAGTGCTTTTTGACAGTAAAACTTCCTAGCATTGTGTTTCAGGACAAGGTTGGCCAGTTCGTAGTGAAGCGTGATGAATGGTGAAAATTATTCAAATTCATTGATTGTAATATTTACTCTCAGTAATTGTTCTAATAGATGTGTTTTCCTCCCTAGTTAAATGGGTCGGAGTTGGAAAATCAAGAGAGTCGATGATCCAGCTATTCTAAACGAATGAAGAACTTCAGTGATGAGAAGCACAATTTAGCGTTCATCTGTTCCTTACTGCTTCCTCTTTAAATGGAGATGCTATTTAAAACCAACATGTTCTTCTAGGAATTGAATAGAAAGAAAACATATATTCTGTATTGTAACATTTTATTTATCTTTAAGTTCTCAGTAAATTCAGTGTAAAATCTCCTTGGTGGCCATCATCAAAGAAAAATCAAAAAAATATTCTTGACAAAATAAGGAAAAATATTTTTTTAAATTTGAGCCATGTTACTATTTAAAAGTATTTTACATCCATACAGAGTTATTTCTTCTTGCTGAAACCAGTATTAAGCCTTTTCCGGTAGTTACTGGGTAACTTTAGAATTGTGAAGCTTGGATTTGCTCTTCAACTTCAAATGCTACAAAGTTTATGTATTTGGGTTGGCAGTAATAAGACAGATACCATGTACTTAAATTGGTTGGATTATATAGATTTTCAGTTTCTAAAATACGGTGAAGTTAGGTAGGTGTTTTTGACTGCACAAAGCAAAGCAAACACAATTATCTTTAATTTTTATATAATAATTTTCTAATAGCCCACTAAAATGAATGGGGAGCATCTAAAGTATTTTTGTCACAGAGCCTATTCTAGTAACTAACATCTGTAGAGGGGCCAAACTGGAGAAAGCTCAAATATCCTGTGTACTAGCAGACAATCCCTGTGGAGACTGTCAGATGTGCAGTCTTTATTTTATGCAGTAGGGAAGGAGTGAGCGAAGGTGGAAGGAAGAGAGTCCTCAGGGTACAAAACACACAGGGAGAGCGGAGCCGAGACAGCACGCTGTGTTTTCTCAGTGAACCTGAGACATTTTTTTCCTGCTCATGCAGTGATTGTAATTTCCAAAGTTTTACTGTAGATATCTGTTGAGGAACTGGGACTTGCAGCTCTGTAAGGCACACTTGCTTCCACAGCTCTAGGTTTCCAAGAATAAATCAATGCATGACTTAACGATGACTGCTGCAGTATTTACACTCCTCACACATTTTGACCTTCCTCAGCAAAATGTAATGCCTATTTATAGAAGGGGATGACATGTGGCAGCCAGGTTTAGGACATGTAGAAGCTGTGGAGAGGTCCCAGAATCTTAAGAAAACACTTGGATTTCTTTGTGGATCTTCTAATTTATAATGGCTATACTTCAGGAGCTCTCAAAAAAAAGGCCTACCTCTTGTAGAGGAAAACCAATACAGTAGAAACGGAGTTATTCCCTAACTGCGGAATTTTCCGAGTAAACGTTCCTTTTCTATTGATGTCTCAGAAAGCTTAACAATATTTTTGTATCATTCCCAGGGGCTGTGGAAATGGCATCAAAACCCCAGTAATGCCATTATCTAGTGTGTGAAAATATCCCTTTTCTGAGATGATAACTCCAAGGATATAAACCCATGAGAATCTTTGCATCAGAGATGGGGAAAAAGAAAAACCTGTCTGGAGTATTCTGTGTCATACTCATCCCCTTTGTCTTTTCTCACTCAATATTAAATAACAGTTCAAACCCATTTGTGTCAAGAAAAAATTACAAAAGTACCGATACAAGCACAAAACAAGCACTAAATTTAACTGTTTGTGGATGTATTGCTGCTTGTAAGGCAGAATTCTTACACCCTCCAGCTGCAGTGCAGTCTCCTCATACCCCAGTTCATCACAGACTGTGGCTTTATGCCACAAGCAAATACCCTTTATCTCTTGAAAAAAAAAAAAAATACCCCAAAGCCGTGAATCCTTAATTCAGCTATAATTCCTTTGTCGATCTTTGACAAGTTGTTTAATCTCCCTGCTACTGTTTTTGCAATCTGTAAAATGGCAATTAGGCATACATCCTCACCTCTTTTACACTGTTTTGGAGGTCCATGGGTCCTGCAGCCTTGCTCTGACATTGATGAAGAAGCTCTCCCTGTAGTATTTATGGGTATTCTAATGAAAGAGCAATGAGATTTCTGACTTTATTTAATGTTTGCAAGCCATTTCGGAAAGGTGCTTGGTAAGTGCTAATTATTACAAGCACCGTGAAATGTGCCTCATTTATATGACGTAATTTAAGCATAAAGATGCTTGTAGGTACAGTAATTAAGTTTTGTTTTCCCATGGCTTAACCTTGTGACATTTGCCTACTGGATGATCTAGACCTGTTCCTCTTCTTGGCCCCATATTCATCAGTGCATTTGTGCTAGGAGGTTGCCGCTATATTTAAGCTTTGTTTGATTTATAGGCAAAGTCCACAACGACTAACAAGCCACTCCGTGTACTGAATAACTGAATTTAATGATCAGCTCTAAATGAAGTATTTGGCATATTGAAAAAATTAGGTTTTATAGCTTAATTTTCACAGGATTACTTTCTCTTGTTCACCTAATCTTTTTATTTTCCGTTAAGTAATTTTTCCATTAAGTCTCCGTTAAATCCACATTGCCTGTCTTTGCATTCAAGGATTCATCAGAAACCCAGTGATGTTGTCAATGGGCATGATGTAATAGGCAATTATCCCCTGACTTACACTGGTACCGTAAAAATAATATCATGCATTTGATTTCATTTCATAGCATGGATTTTTTAAATGAAAGTTCTACTCCTATTGAATTTCATATGTGTTGTCACTGAGTTAAATGTGAATAAGTTCAGGCTTTTATCAAAAAGCTCTTTAAACTACTGAGTGACACAATACTTAATAAGAACATTTTTATGTAAATTTTCTTTCATTTTGGCTGTTTCCCATGTGTATTATTTTGTATTGTTTGGAATTTCATTTTAATAACAATCACTGTGATGAATTTGATTTCTTTTTTCTCCCCAGCCAAATGCAATAATAATGACTAAAACTGGTTGATGCATCATCCTGTTAGATAGCTGGATGGAAGAATAAGGGTGAACGTCTACCAAAATGGCATAATTTGTGGTAAAGATTATAGTTTTCTAAAAGTAGCAATTACTGATTCACTCATGCACATTAATGTATTTTATGTATTTTCTCACATTTACCCTTACAATATGGCCTTCATAGTCAGGTGTATGCTTCCTAACACATGCAGTATAGAATTTTGAAGCTTTTTTAATTTTTAATTTGGCTATATATGGTCTTACAGTTTTGGCATAATGCACTTTATAAAAGGAAGGAAAATTAAGCATTTCCATAGTAATGTGCAAACTATACTTAACACCTTATGCAGATTTTTTCAGATGAATTTTGGATCCACACCTGTTTATTTTGTCCTGAAAGACATATTAAAACCAATTTAAAGTAACAGTGCTTGGTCTCTGTTTCTCTCTTCTTTTTAACACCATACAAACACTTCATACAAAAATCTGATTCAATATTTCATAGATTTTAAACAATAACTAGCAGCAGCACTGACTGAATAGGTATTTTCTTTTAATCTACAGATTCTCAGTGTTTGGCCTTTTTTTAACATATTCCACAAACTTTTGTCCCACTTTCACGTTTACAAACTGAGCAGGGATCCATGTTTACCACCGGGGGTTTATGGTTAGTCATCTTTAATTAGCTCACCTGAGTGAACAATCGTTTTACGAAGAAAAAAAGCACTTTCTAATTGATGCAAAAATGTTCTTGCCATACCAGCTGGCTCAGAACAACTGATGTGAACTCTGTATAGCTCTTTATCAACAGAACTGTGCTAGAAAGGAAAGATAGATACTGGCTCAGATAAGTAATCATCACCTCTAAAAGAAGAGTGGGCTTCAGACAAGTACTGTTAGGGCTTTCAGAAGCCTTTGTAGAAATCACTCTCTTTCTCATCCATTTTAGAAGGAGCCTGGAACAACAGGTGAGTGACCTGTTCAGTAAATGACAGCAGGTTAATACACAATTCAGGGCAATGGCTGAGAGCTGTACGAGAACTGATCTGCTAATTAACTAGTGTTTCTTCATTTCCTTGCCATGAGTTATATATATATATAAATTCACGTAGAGTGGTCTTTGGTAGCCAGATATCTGAAGCAGTTTCATCTAACTCCACGTGATGCTGGCAATGCCCAAGACCAAAAAATACCAAAACCAAAACTGAGGGAGTCTCTCTTTGCTGAAATTACCCACCAGGAAAACACTCTGGTTTGTTACTGGTCTGTCTGTTGTCTGTCACCTGGAGAGCTGAGTCTTATGACTGGGAGGAAGGAAAGAAGATAGGCAGCCCGGTAAAAACGGGAACAATGTGACCATCTTGCCTTTGGAGAGTTGCAATTAATAGATGACTTTCTGCCCCTACCCTCTTCTAGTAAGTAGTACTTTACATGGGGTGAAGTTGTAGCCCGCTCCTTACTCCTCGTGAAAGTGGCCCAGCTTCCTCTACAGTAACATTTCATATCCACCAGAGAGCTGGTTTCAAGAGCTGGATGTGTGCAAGAAGTACGAGCTGACATCATCCTTTTAACTAGCCATCAGGCAAGAAAATCCAGCTCCAACCGTCTTATCTTTAGAAGAAGTCCCTGTTTGTAGTATAGGCACTCTATCAGGGGAGTAGCCTGTGGATTTGTTGGCTACTAATTTAAGTGAGTTTGTTAGTGGCAGTATCGTCTCTTTATTAGATCCATGTTGCCAATGAAAAAGAAGGTGCCTGAGGCTTAGAGCCTGCTTGCCTGTCACAGTGCTACATGGGACTGATAGTGTGTGAGAAGTGGTATTGTACAGCCTGCTTCAGAGAGGTAGGAGACTGGGTTCTTTCCTTCCCAAATCACAGGTTGTCCTGGTTTCGGCTGGGACAGAGTTAGTTTTCTTCCTCGTAGCTGGTACAGTGCTATATTTTGGATTTAGTATGAGAATACTGTTGATAACACACTGATGTTTTAGTTGTTGCTAAGTAGTGCTTACCCTAAGTCGAGGATTTTTCGGTTTCCCATGCTCTGCCAGCAAGGAGGTGCACAAGAACCTGGGAGGGAGCATGGCCAGGACAGCTGACCTGAACTAGCCAAAGGGATATTCCATACCATAGGACATCATGCTCAGTATATAAACTGGGTGGAGTTGGCCGGGAGGGGCGGATCGCTGCTCGGGCATCTGTCTGTGGGCGGTGAGCAATTGCGTTGTGCATCACTTGTCTTTTCTTGGGTTTTATTTCTCTCTCTTTTTGTTATCTTCCTTTTCATTACAGTAGTTATTGTTATTATATTTCAATTATTAAACTATTCTTATCTC